CCTTTATGGCTTGAGTCCTGGGTATCAGATGAACTGCCTCTTTCTCCTGGCAACTGAGATCATCAGGGACCTTAGAGCTGAAATTCCTAGATTTATACTTATGGGTGCTGGTAGTGGTGCATACTCAGTGGAGAGCCCCCTACTTTGAAACTCATTTCCCATCTTGGTCTGACAGAGCACGTTTGATGATCTTCTGGCTGTGCACTCAGGCTTTTTATGAGCAGATGGCTTGTTTTGGAGGGACTCTTTCTTTTTTTATGGTAGACATGGGAAATCTGTTTAGTGATTTTCTTTTTGTTTTTAAGACGGTTAATTTAAATAATGTTTGTATGCATTTTTAAACATGTATTGTTTCTTAGTTTAGATCAGTGGTGTCCAACCTGTGGCCCTCAAGGCTCTAACCTGTGGCTACAGGCAAATGTTAAAAACATTTATGTTTGATTATCAATTGAAAATAGGCTCTCCGAGCTACATTCTGTGATTTTTATGTGTTTGAATCAGCCAAGTCAATGCAGGGAGACAATATGAGGCCTTGCCTACCACCACTTTCCCTGTAGCCCTAGGAGTAGCTTGGGTGCGAGCCATGAGTACTCTAAGCAGCTCCACAGTTCCCCTGCTGACTGACTACTGCAGCACGAGAGAGGGAGGTGCTCTGGTTGCTCCATTGCCTGTTTTATTGTTGTGCGCTGGGTGGAAGAGCAGGGTAGGAGCTCTCTTGGCTCTGCCTCAACTTTGGGGAGCACCTAGCAAAAGATGGCTCCTTCCTCCGCACAGTTGCTTAGGAGAAAGGAAAAGAGAAGCTGAGAACAAACCAACAGACAATTATGGCTCCCTGATTCTCTGCTCCAGCTGGGTTAGAGTAGCCTGTGGCCTGCGCTATCTTGAGTCAGCAACTGGCAACACATATCAGTTGGAGATAGCCATATACATTAGAACCTCAGAGCTACAGACATCTCAGGAATGGAGGTTAACCATAACTCTGAAATGTTTGTAACTCTGAAGAAAGCGCAGTGTCTTGCTGTGTCTACCCCACGAGTCGGGTGGGGAGTCCAGATGTGCCTACCTTTAAGATGCAATACAGGCACAGTACAGTGCTTTTTGTGTGTGTGTGTGTCTCTCTGCTGCTGCCTGATTGTTTACTTCTGGTTTCACATGGTGTCTGGTTGACTAGTCAGTCTGTAACTCTGATGTTTGTATCTCTGAGGTTCTACTGTAGTAGTATACTCCTGCCACTCTTCATCCCAACATGTTCCCTGCACACAGGAGCTAGCTGTCAACTGTTAAGGGGAATCCACAGCAGGTGACTTGGGGGGGTAGAACCTGCTCCATTTGTTTTCCCTGAGCTATGTAAAGGAAATGGAATGAGGCAGAAAGCTTGCCTTAAAATATCAATTGTGGCCCCTTGAACTTTTCAAAATACAGTACAACCCCTATTATCTGAGCCTCCATGATCTGGCTGTCTGTATTAACTGAACTAAGTGGTGGGGCTGACAGCTGTGTTATACCAATAAAATAAAAACCAGCAGGATCTTATTAAAATGGATAAGACAAAATGTCACATTTATTGTGAATACAGAAAGAATCGTAGTAGGCAGTCAGTTATAGCTATAACATTTCATTCAGTTTCACATTCATTCACACGTTCGTTCATACACACACACAGGTTCTGCAGCTGCTGTATAGTTACCAGTCCTGAATGTAGCTTGAGTTTGTGGCTTGGGTTCGTAGCTTGTGGTGGCTAACTGGCCAGGAAAGCCAGGCACAAGGAAGAGTTGGGTCTCTGTTGGGCATGCACCGATGCCCTTCCATGTTGGCAGCAGAATGTTGCCCTTCAAAGTCTTCTATCTCACTCATCCTTTTTGTAGGCTTTAGTTTGAATCCAGAGTTGATAGGTCTTGCTGTGTCATGCTGCCTCTGGGTTCGGTGTGATTGATCACCCGTCAATTGCAGACATGACTTTCAGCCTAGGACCTGGCTTTGATATTTCTTCAATTGTACTTTTGTTCTTTTCTTTTGACGGTGGACACCTCTTACTTTGTCAGGGCTGTTGTCTGCATCTTCAGCCTTTGGGTGTTTACACTTTATTTCATCAGGACAGGCTGGGGCTGGAGGTTGATTCCATCATCCATACATACCTCATTCACACATCTAAACTAAACTAATAAGATTACAGTAGGGTTTTGCAAAAATGAAGGTTGCAGCAAGCTTTTACAAAATGGAGTGAGCATTTTAAAATGGAGTTTGGAACAAGTTAAAATGGAGTTTGAGTTACAATATGGACAAGTGTAAGGAATGACAAACAGTGAGCAGAAGTTACAAAGTTGAAACAGTGCAAGTTTCAGCAATTTAAGCAGCAATTGGATTGAAAGTGAAACTCAATTAGGCAGTTATTGGGGTAACCGGTTTTATGAATGAATGTTGTTTCATTCATAAAACTTTGCTTATGAAGTGATATTAATAAAGAGAACAATTAAAAACAATTGATCAGTTCTACAGCTGGAGCCCAGCTGCTGCCCAGGGCTGACTGCCGGAGCCTCGCCCATTCTCCTGATTATCCAAATTTTTGATTAGTGGATCTCTCCCTGGTCCCAATTAGATTGCATAAATGGGGTTCCACTGTAATATGTTTGGCCTTTAGCTGAACAGGTTCATAGATACTAAGGTCAGAAGGGACCATTATGATCATCTAGTCTGACCTCCTGCACAACGCAGGCTACAGAATCTCACCGACCCACTCCTGCAAAAAACCTCTCACCCAAGTCTGAGCTATTGAAGTCCTCAAATCGTGGTTTAAAGACTTGAAGGTGCAGAGAATCCTCCAGCAAGTGACCCTTGCCCCATGTTACAGAGGAAGCTGAAAAACCCCCAGGGCCTCTTCCAATCTGCCCTGGAGGAAAATTCCTTTCTGACCCCAAATATGGCGATCAGCTAAACCTTGAGCATATGGGCAAGATTCCCCAGCCAGATGCTACAGAAAATTCTTTCCTGGGTAACTCAGTTCCCATCCCATCTGATATCCCATCACAGGCTATTAGGCCTATTTACCATTAATATTTAAAGATCAATTAATTACCAAAATCATGTTATCCCATCATACCATCTCCCCCATAAACTTATTGAGTTTAATCTTAAAGCCAGATAGATCTTTTGCACCCCTGCTTCCCTATTTGGCTATTTTGGACAGCTCTGGCCTACGGTGACTGACAGACACGTGGTATAAATTTCAGAGTAGCAGCTGTGTTAGTCTGTATCCACAAAAAGAAAAGGAGCACTTGTGGCACCTTAGAGACCAACAAATTTATTTGAGCATAAGCTTTTGTGAGCTAGAGCTCACTTCATCAGATGCATTCAGTGGAAATGAATGCATCCGATGAAGTGAGCTGTAGCTCACGAAAGCTTATGCTCAAATAAATTTGTTAGTCTCTAAGGTGCCACAAGTACTCCTTTTCTTTTTATGGTATACACTGATTGATAAATTGAGTCAAAATTCCTGATTTAGCATTTTCAATAAACATCGTGTGGAAAGTGCACTAGTTATCAAGGCAGCACAGTTGACCATGGCCACATAAGAGGAGAGATAAGAAATACGCTGTACTTGCTTCTATAGCCTGAATTATATCCTCTTAAAAATCAGTAAATGCTGTTGCCCATTCACATCATCAGTTACTTCTGTGGGGCTTTATGCAGGGTTCATGTGTGGACAATGAGACTACTACCTGCAGGTACAGGGGTCCACCTAGACAGGGCTTCTTGCAGGATTGGGACTTGTTTTCTTTATTTTATAGTGACATTGGAGCTATGTCTCATCTTAAATCCTAGTCTATCTTGTTAAAAATGCATAACTTTAATAAAAAGTCATCAATAGTCAAAACATAATTTTTTTTCCCTACATGTGCTGTTAGTTTACTTTTGAACTTTAAATTAGACACGGAGAGAAACTGGTCAATTTTGTTTTCAGATGCTCATGTTTCAAAAACTGAAGGAAGTGTTTAAATCAACCCAAAAAATTGAAGAGGAAATCAGTAAGGTTATGTTTAATACAAAACTTAAATACCTGTGTATCTTAGGATGCCTTTCATTTTGCCCCTTTTTAAAGCAAATGACACACCTGTATGTGTTGCCAACAGGTGTAATTTAATTACTGGTTTTATGATAGGTAATGTTTACTTAAAGTTCAGCTTCCTGGAGATTGAGGAGAGAACCTCAGCTTTAATTGTTTTTTGTAAAGTAAATTTCTAGCCCTCATGGTTTCAAAGCAAAGTTTGAAGACATGGCTGAGTGCACCCAGAAGGCTCCAAAACCTGAACACAAATAAGCAAAACCTCAATTTATTTTTAAGACATTCACGAATTTCCAATTCATAGGGTGGGGACCAGACTGACTCAGTTCCAACAGTTTGAGGTTGGCAGCAGTACTGTTCACAGGCTTGGATGGCCACAGCTTGTGGGTACGGTTGCCCACAGCATGTGCTCGCTACAGTGCCAAGAGCAGGTTGGCTCAGGGAGCGGCTCTTTTCATCCCTTGCACAGTGTGGAGCACCTTACTGGCTCTAGGTAACGCAGTGCGGATTGCATGGATACTGCTCAGCGGCCCGTTTTGGCTTGCACAAGACAAGCAGGGCAGGGCCCCCTCATGTTGAAAGTGCGGGCCTACGCGTGCAGCAGGCGGAGACCCAAGCAGAGGTGCTGGAAGGAACTAGGGGCGCCCCCCGGCTTGACGTGGTTTCCACCATATACAGGGTTACATATATTATAGCGCTCAGCACCTCCACTCCCCACATTGTTCCAGCGCCCCCGGACGCAAGAGGCTCCCGGCCCTGCCGGAGCGGGAGGGGATTTCAGCAGAGGGGATTTTACCAGCCCTCCTGAGACTCTCCCCCCGCCCACCCCCGGGGGGGCGGCGCTGCGGCAGAGGACGCCCGAGCAGCAGCAGGCCTGCAGGGGGCCGAGCCGCCGCCGCTCCTGCGGCGGGAGGAGGGGCCGGGCTGCCTTCTGCCGTCACAACCGGGAGCTGCGGAGCGCGTCGACGCCTCCGGCCGCTGGAGCCGCGGGCGGCGGAGCGGGGCGCTGCTGCTGCGAGCCCTGTTGGGCGGGAGCGGCGGAGGAGCGGGGCGGCGGCGGTAAGGAGGAGGCTCGTTTCCCGGGCTGTGCCCCAGCCTGCGGATGCACTGCGGGGGCTCGGAGGTGCAGCAGCGGCCGGGGGGGACCAGCGGGCGGCAGCAGGACGGGGCAGCGGTCCCTGCTCCGGACCGCGCCCCGGCTATGGCCAGGGGACGCTCGGCTCCCCTCAGCCCTGGGCAGCTGCCCGCCGTGGGCAGGGCTGGTTCCCGGGGCGGGGGCCGGGGGGAAGCGCCGCGATGGCCGCAGCCCGCGCGTGGGGGCGTTTCGTGACCGGGGCTGCGGCGGCGCCGATGCCCCGCGCCGGGCCCGGGCGGGATGTGGCCGCCGCGCGGCTCGCGCCTGGTGATTGGCTGGTGCCGAGGTCGAGGGCATCAGTTGGCAGGGAGGGGACAAATCCTGACTTGTGAATAGTTCGCCGGGTGTCTGCGCGGCAGCTGCTGGGCTGCCGGAGCCTGGGCTGCCCTGCAGGCCTGGCGGGCTGATGCCGGGGTTTCTGCTCCTCGTAAGCTTAGGAACCAGTGATGGGCGAGTGAAGGGGTATGCTGTATTTGCTACCCAAATAAGGGGGAATGTTGAGTTTCCCTACTTAATCCCGCCGGTTAAGGTGTTCATATGCAGTATCCATTTTGAACAGGCTTATGATGCTTGCTGTTTACTTAACAGGTACTGTCAAGGTCTCCCTCCAATTTCAAAAATCATTTTCTTCCAACTTCCCACTTACTAGTCCAGCTGTTTGTAGGCCATGGTGATTTTTTTCCATGTCAGCATAATTTTGTTTTCTGTATTGTTGATCTTGAGAAGTGGGCTACTGTGATCACTTTAAAATAGCTGTGCCTTGCCTTTGGTGTTTTGGAGGAAAAAATAGATGCATATAAATAACTATCTTGCAGACAGATGCAGAACTTCAAAACTGATTTTTGTAATTAATCCTACCAACAATCCATTTGAATTTATTATTATGTGACAGTCGCATTGTCATTTATTTTCATCCATGTTTCTGGGTATTTTATCACAGAGCCTGTGTTTTGACATTAGCATGGGCACCTCTTTTGTGTAGTGATGTTCGTGTACATAATACTTTACAGAAATACTTGATGGCAAGGTCTTTTCACCTGATGAATTTACAATCGAAATTAAAGGAGTACTTGTGGCACCTTAGAGACTAACCAATTTATTTGAGCATAAGCTTTCGTGAGCTACAGCTCACTTCATTGGATGCATACTCACTTCATCAGTATGCATCCGATGAAGTGAGCTGTAGCTCACGAAAGCTTATGCTCAGATAAATTGGTTAGTCTCTAAGGTGCCACAAGTACTCCTTTTCTTTTTGCGAATACAGACTAACACAGCTGCTACTCTGAAACCCATCCTTTGCAAGTGACTCTCTTCTGAGTTGGAAGCTCCACCTGATGTTACTCCACAGCTTGAGTGGGAGGAGTTTCCTCCCATCCAATGCAACTCCCATCACTCAAATTGAAAAAAATAAGTTGGAGCAGGGTTCTAAACGCCTATCTGCAAACCAATTGCTTGCTTGTACCTGGGGTGCCTTGAGGGCTTTTGTGATCTCTGCCTTTCCACTTAAGTTCTCATGCAAGAGGCAGAAAGAGGCCACAGTATCAGGACTACAGTTACATGACAAATAATGATAAACCCAGGTGGGTGGAGTAGATGATGGAGAGGGAATACAAAATTTGAGAGAGCATCCACTTTAAAAGTGGATTAAGCTAAAATGGAAAAAGGCATTCTTCTTCTGGAATGTGTGTGTCCACACTGGGAGCTATTCTGGAATAGTTTATTTTGCAGTAATCATTTTGGTCAATTTCCATATGCAGACAAGCCCTAAAAGGAAGCAGATTGCTTATAACATATCTTGGATTTTATTATCCATGTGCAAGACCAGAGTATATCAACAGCGGAGATCTGTCTGCATAAGAACAGCCATACTGGGTCAGACCAAAGGTCCATCTAGTCCAGTATCTTTTCTTCCAACAGTGGCCAATGCCAGGTGCCCCAGAGGGAGTGGACAAAACAGGTAATCACCAGGTGATCCATCCCCTGTCGCCCATTCCCAGCTTCTGACAAACAGAGGCTAGGGACACCATTCCTGCCCATCCTGGCTAAAAGCTATTGATGGACCTATCCTCCATTAACTTATCTAATTTTTTTGATTTTGGTTTTCTAAACCAAAGGGAATGATATAGAGGTGGTGGTATGTGCATTTGATTCAAACTCTTGACTCAGTCATGTCAGCTGACGTGAGTTTAAAAGTGCAGGTTGTCCTGGAAAACAGCTTTACACTTGTGTTTGTCTCAAAACCTCCTGTTTTTAAAAGCTCACTGTTGAGCTCTGTTTTTCTTCTGAAGATTCAGTTCAACAGGTTGCTTGGCTTGAGAACTCCTTGGTGAATATAAGCCAATTATTTTCCTCTCAGTTTCTCACTAAACTCAACACTAGTGTTAAATGTTGGAGGGGAGCTGAGACTGGTGTGGAAATGCAATAGGTCTTTACATGTGTGTAAACTTCAATATTTTTAAACCTTAGCACTTTGTTGGCTAGTCCAAATTGAGATGTGGAGCTTGCTGCTGCTCCCCTCCCAGCCAGTAGTACCAGGTTCATTTAGTGTCTATTGTAGTACTCTATTTTCAGCTGTCTGCACCTGTGCCATACATGTTTCCTAAAGACTGACATATGACAGCTTTACACTGGAGTGAATTTGTTTTTAATGATCAAATTTTAATACAATCCCTAATGTGCACTAGTACCTTTTGAAAATATGAATGAAATAATCCTTACAAGGAGTCATTTGAGCTGTAGAAGGAAGATGGCTGCCTGATTCTGAACTCTGTGATCAAGATCCAGACAAATTAGGTGTTTACCTAAAACATCCTTACCCAAAAAGTTTCTACAGCAGTTTTAAGAAGCACTTGAACTTACAGGGATGATAGCAGAACCTTTCAAATCGCTCCATCAGAGAAGAACTTTGAAAGAGTTGATATAAACAGCTATGACACCTCTGCCCCTCAAAACGCAGACTGAGAACGGAATGGAGTGATGTAGTGGTGGGAGTCTGCTATAGACCACCGGACCAGGGGGATGAGGTAGATGAGGCTTTCTTCCGGCAGCTCACGGAAGCTACTGGATCGCATGCCCTGATTCTCATGGGTGACTTTAATTTTCCTGATATCTGCTGGGAGAGCAATACAGCGGTGCATAGACAATCCAGGAAGTTTTTGGAAAGCGTAGGGGACAATTTCCTGGCGCAAGTACTAGAGGAGCCAACTAGGGGGGGCGCTTTTCTTGACCTGCTGCTCACAAACCGGGTAGAATTAGTGGGGGAAGCAAAAGTGGATGGGAATCTGGGAGGCAGTGACCATGAGTTGGTTGAGTTCAGGATCCTGACACAGGGAAGAAAGGTAAGCAGCACGATACGGACCCTGGACTTCAGGAAAGCAGACTTCGACTCCCTCAGGGAACGGATGGCCAGGATCCCCTGGGGGACTAACTTGAAGGGGAAAGGAGTCCAGGAGAGCTGGCTGTATTTCAAGGAATCCCTGTTGAGGTTACAGGGACAAACCATCCCAATGAGTCGAAAGAATAGTAAATATGGCAGGCGACCAGCTTGGCTTAATGGTGAAATCTTAGCGGATCTTAAACATAAAAAAGAAGCTTACAAGAAGTGGAAGGTTGGACATATGACCAGGGAAGAGTATAAAAATATTGCTCGGGCATGTAGGAATGTTATCAGGAGGGCCAAATCGCACCTGGAGCTGCAGCTAGCCAGAGATGTCAAGAGTAACAAGAAGGGTTTCTTCAGGTATGTTGGCAACAAGAAGAAAGCCAAGGAATGTGTGGGCCCCTTACTGAATGAGGGAGGCAACCTAGTGACCGAGGATGTGGAAAAAGCTAATGTACTCAATGCTTTTTTTGCCTCTGTTTTCACTAACAAGGTCAGCTCCCAGACTGCTACGCTGGGCATCACAAAATGGGGAAGAGATGGACAGCCCTCTGTGGAGATAGAGGTGGTTAGGGACTATTTAGAAAAGCTGGACGTGCACAAGTCCATGGGGCCGGACGAGTTGCATCCGAGAGTGCTGAAGGAACTGGCGGCTGTGATTGCAGAGCCATTGGTCATTATCTTTGAAAACTCGTGGCGAACCGGGGAAGTCCCGGATGACTGGAAAAAGGCTAATGTAGTGCCAATCTTTAAAAAAGGGAAGAAGGAGGATCCTGGGAACTACAGGCCAGTCAGCCTCACTTCAGTCCCTGGAAAAATCATGGAGCAGGTCCTCAAAGAATCAATCCTGAAGCACTTGCATGAGAGGAAAGTGATCAGGAACAGCCAGCATGGATTCACCAAGGGAAGGTCATGCCTGACTAATCTAATCGCCTTCTATGATGAGATTACTGGTTCTGTGGATGAAGGGAAAGCAGTGGATGTATTGTTTCTTGACTTTAGCAAAGCTTTTGACACGGTCTCCCACAGTATTCTTGTCAGCAAGTTAAAGAAGTATGGGCTGGATGAATGCACTACAAGGTGGGTAGAAAACTGGCTAGATTGTCGGGCTCAACGGGTAGTTATCAATGGCTCCATGTCTAGTTGGCAGCCGGTATCAAGTGGAGTGCCCCAAGGGTCGGTCCTGGGGCCGGTTTTGTTCAATATCTTCATAAATGATCTGGAGGATGGTGTGGATTGCACTCTCAGCAAATTTGCGGATGATACTAAACTGGGAGGAGTGGTAGATACGCTGGAGGGGAGGGATAGGATACAGAAGGACCTAGACAAATTGGCGGATTGGGCCAAAAGAAATCTGATGAGGTTCAATAAGGATAAGTGCAGGGTCCTGCACTTAGGACGGAAGAATCCAATGCACCGCTACAGACTAGGGACCGAATGGCTAGGCAGCAGTTCTGCGGAAAAGGACCTAGGGGTGACAGTGGACGAGAAGCTGGATATGAGTCAGCAGTGTGCCCTTGTTGTCAAGAAGGCCAATGGCATTTT